GGGGAAATTTGGGAAAAAATTTGGGAAAAATATGGGGGGAAATTTGGGAAAAAAATGGGGGAAAATATGGGGGAAAATCGGGGGAAATTTGGGGAAAAGTCAGGTGAAAATCGGGGGAAAATCAGGGTAATTCAGGAAAAATAGAGGGAAAGTTTAAGGAAAAATTGGGGGAAATTCAGGGAAAAATCAGAGGAAGTTTAGGGAAAAATTGGAGGAAAATCAGGGAAAAATTGAGGGAAATTTGGGGGAAAATTGGGGGAAATTGGGGGAAAATCAGGGGAAATCGGGAAAAAATCTGGGGAAATTTAGGGGAAAATCAGGGGAAAATCTGGGGAAATTTGGGGAAAAATCAGGGGAAAATCGGGGGAAGTTTAGGAGAAAATTGGGGGAAATTGGAGAAAAATTGGGGGAAATTTGGGGAAAAAATTGGGGAAAAATCAGGGAAAAAACAGGGAAAAATCAGGGGTAATTCAGAAAAAAATCAGAGAAAATTTGGGAAAAATTGGGGCAAATTCGGGGAAGAATCAGGGAAAATTGGGGGAAATTGGGAGAAAAAGCAGGGGAAGTTTAGGGAAAAATTGGAGAAAAATTGGGGGAAATTCAGGGGGAAAATTGGGGGGAAAATGGGGGAAAAATTGGAGTAACTTGGGAGAAAAATTGGGGGAAATATGGGGAAAAATCAGGGGAAGTTCAGGGAAAAATTGGAGAAAAATTGGGGGAAAAATCGGGGAAAAATGGGGGAATTGGGGGAAAATATGGGGGAAATTTGGGAAAAATTGGGGAAAAATATGGGGGAAAAATCAGGAAAAAATTGGGGGAAAAATCAGGAAAAAAATTGTGGAAAAAGTGCGAAAAACCTGGAAAAAATGTGAAAAAACATGGAAAAAATCTGGAAAAAATGGGAAAAAATTGGAGAAAAAAAAAGGGAAAAAAATCACGTGAGAAGTGGGGAAAAAGTAGGAAAAAATGCAAAAGGACATGGAAAAAAGGAGGAAAAATTGGGGAAAAATCAGGAAAAAATGGGAAAAAAATCAGGAAAAAATAGGGAAAAAATGGTGAAAAGGTGAAAAAAAAAACCTGGAAAAAATGCAAAAAAACCTGGAAAATAGGAGGAAAAATTGGGGAAAAATCAGGAGAAAATGGAAAAAAAATGGGGGAAAAAAGGGGAAAAATGGTGAAAAAAGTGAAAAAAAACCTGAAAAAATGCGAAAAAACCTGGAAAAAACCAAGAAAAAGTGAGAAAAAATCTGGAAAAACGGGGAAAAAAATCAGGAAAAAAAGGGAAAATATTGGGGAAAAAAGGGGAAAAAAATTGCAAAAAAGGTGGGAAAAACCTAGGAAAAAATGCAAAAAAAACTGGAAAAAAGGAGGAAAAATTGTGAAAAATCAGGAAAAAATGGGAAAAAATCAGGAAAAATGGGAACAAATTGGAGAAAAATACGGAAAAAAAATGCAAAAAACCTAGGAAAAATGCAAAAAAACTTGGAAAAAAGGAGGAAAAATTGGGGAAAAATTGGGAAAAATTGGGAAAAAATCAGGAAAAAATCAGGAAAAAATCAGGAAAAAATTGTGGAAAAATCCGGAAAAAATCAGGAAAAATGGGAACAAATTGGAGAAAAATAGGGAAAAAAGTGCAAAAAACCTAGGAAAATATGCAAAAAAACCTGGAAAAAAGGAGGAAAAATCAGGGAAAAATGAGGAAAAATTGGGAAAAAAGGAGGAAACATTTGCTAAAATGTGGGAAAATGAGCTAAATGAGTAATTTGTTTGTTTTTCAGCGCGGAGAATGTTTAGGGGTGGGATTTTGGCATTTGGGGCTTTAATCCTGGATTTTAGGGTTGGAGCGTTGGGATTTGGGGCTTTAATCCCAGGTTTTACAGGGTTTTGGGGCTTTAATCCCAGTTTTAGGGCTTGGATTTTGGGATTTGGGGTTTTAATCCTGGGTTTTATAGGGTTTGGGGCTTTAATCACGGGTTTTAGGGTTGGGATTTGGGGATTTGGGGCTTTAATCCCAGTTTTAGGGTTGGGACTTTCGGATTTGGGGATTTAGTCCTAGATTTTTATGGGGTTTTGGGGCTGTAATCTCAGGTTTTATGAGGTTTAGGGGCTTTAATCGCAGTTTTAGGGTTTGGATTTTGGGATTTGGGGATTTAATCCTGTTTTTTACGGGGTTTTGAGGTTTAGTCCCAGTTTTAGGGTTTGGATTTTGGGATTTGGGGTTTTAATCCTGGGCTTTATAGGGTTTGGGGCTTTAATCACGGGTTTTAGGGTTGGGATTTGGGGATTTGGGGCTTTAATCCCAGTTTTAGGGTTGGAATGTTGGGATTTGAGGCTTTAATCCTGGGTTTTATGGGGTTTTGGGGCTTTAATCCCAGTTTTAGGGTTGGAACGTTGGGATTTGAGGCTTTAATCCTGGGTTTTTATGGGGTTTTGGGGCTTTAATCCCATGTTTTACGGGGTTTTGGGGCTTTAGTCCCAGTTTTGGGGCTTGGATTTTGGGATTTGGGGCTCTAGTCCTGTTTTTTTATGAGGTTTGGGGGCTTTAATCTTGAGTTTTTGTGGAGTTTGTGGGCTTTAATCCCAGGTTTTAGGGTTTGAATGTTGGGAATTGGGGCTTTAATCCCAGGTTTTATGGGATTTGGGGGCTTTAATCCCGAGTTCTATGGGGTCTGTGGGCTTTACTCCTGAGTTTTTATGGAGTTTGGGGCTTTAATCCTGGGGTTTAGGGTTGGGATTTTGGGATTTGGGGCTCTAATCCCAGGTTTTAGGGTTTGGATTTTGGGTTTCAGGGCTTTCATCCTGGATTTCAGGGTTGGAACGTTGGGATTTGGCGCTTTAGTCTTGGGTTTGATGAGGTTTAGGGGCTTTAATCCTGAGTTTTTATGGAGTTTTTGGGCTTTAATCCCAGGTTTTATGGGATTTGGGGGCTTTAATCCTGGGGTTTACGGGGTTTTGGGGCTTTAGGCCCAGTTTTAGGGTTTGGATTTTGGGATTTGGGGATTTAATCCCGAGTTTTATGGGGTTTTGGTACTTTAATCCCGAGTTTTATAGGGGTTGTGGACTTTAATCCCGGGTTTTAGGACTGGAATGTTGGGATTTGAGGCTTTAATCCTGGGTTTTATAGGGTTTGGGGCTTTAATCCCAGGTTTTTATGTGGTTTGGGGTCTTTAATCCTGGGTTTTAGGGTTTGGATTGTTGAGATTTGAGGCTTTAATATTGGGTTTTATAGGGTTTGGGGCTTTAATCCCGAGTTTTTATGGAGTTTGTGGGCTTTAATCCCAGTTTTAGGACCATGGGAACCCATTGGAATGGCCGAGGTGGATCTTGGATCCCAGCTGGAATCCTGGGATCTGAGGAACCAAATCTTGGATCCTGTCTGGAATCCTGGAATTCCCAGAGCAGGGATCCAGCCAAGCTTTGCCAGAACCTTCCCCACACTCAAGGAGCCAAATCCGTGGGAATCCTTTGGAATGATCAAGGTGGATCTTGGATCCCGGCTGGAATCCTGGGATCTGAGGACCCAAATCCAGGAATGACTCAACATGGATCGTGAATCCTGACTGGAATCCTGGAATTCCCAGAGCAGGAATCCAGCCAAGCTTTGCCAGAACCGTCTCCACCCTCAAGGAACCAAATCCATGGGAATCCACTGGAATGACCAAGGTGGATCTTGGATCCTGTCTGGAATCTTGGAATTCCCAGAGCAGGAATCCAGCCAAGCTTTGAGGGAACTTTCTCCACACTCAAGACCCCACCCAGTTTTCCATGGAATCTTCTCCACGCTCAAGGAGCCAAATCCATGGGAACCCATTGGAATGGCCAAGGTGGATCTTGGATCCCAGCTGGAATCTTGGGATTTGAGGACCCCAGTCCTGGAATAACTGAGGTGGATCTTGGATCTCATATGGAATCCTGGAATTCCCAGAGCGGGAATCCAGCCAAGCTTTGCCAGAACCTTCTCCACACTCAAGGAGCCAAATCCATGGGAATCCACTGGAATGACCAAGGTGGATCTTGGATCCTGTCTGGAATCCTGGAATTCCCAGAGCAGGGATCCAGCCAGGCTTTGCCAGAACCTTCTGCCCACTCAAGACCCCACCCAGTTTTCCATGGAATCTTGTCCACGCTCATGGAGCTGAATCCATGGGAATGACCAAGGCAAATCTTTGATCCTGACTGGAATCCTGGAATTCCCAGGGTGGGAATGCAGCCAAGCTTTTCTGGAACCTTCTCCACACTCAAGGAACCAAATCCATGGGAATCCATTGGAATGACCAAGGTGGATCTTGGATCCCAGCTGGAATCCTGGGATTTGAGGACCCGAATCCAGGAATGACCAAAGTGGATCTTGGATCTCATCTGGAATCCTGGAATTCCCAGAGTGGGAATCTTTTCCAGACCCCGCCCAACCTTCCATGGAATCTCCTCCCCGCTCCAGGAGCACCCTCTGGAATTTCATTCTCCTCCCATTCTGTGATTCCCCTCTGGAATTCCATTCCCACTCCAGGCTCTGGGCGGGTTCTCCTTCGTGGTGAACCGGGAGGGTTGGGTCGCGTTCGTGTCGGAGAACGTGACGCCATATTTGCCATAAAACCTTGGAATTCTCTCCTGGTTTCATGGTATTTGAAATAAAATCCAGGAATTTTTCCCCATTTTTGGGATATTTAGGGCAAAATCTCTGGAATGTTTTTCCATTCCAGGTCCAGGATGGGTTTTTCTTCATGTTCAACCAGGAGGGTTGGGTCGTGTTCGTGTCGGAGAACGTGACGCCGTATTTGCCATAAAACCTTGAAACTCTTCCCCATTTTTGGGATATTTGAGATAGAATTTTGAATTTTTTTCCCATTTTTTCCCCAATTTTTGAGATATTTGACATAAAACTTTGGAATTTTTTCCCGTTTTTCCCGTTTCCAGGCTCTGGACGGGTTCTTCTTCGTGGTGAACCGCGAGGGCCGCGTCGTGTTCGTGTCGGAGAACGTGACGCGATATTAGAGATAAAACCTTGAAACTTTTTCCCATTTTTTCAATATTTGAGATAAAATCCTGGAATTTTTCCCCATTTTTGGGATATTTAGGGCAAAATCTCTGGAATGTTTTTCCATTCCAGGTCCAGGATGGGTTTTTCTTCATGTTCAACCAGGAGGGTTGGGTCGCGTTCGTGTCGGAGAACGTGACGCCATATTTGCCATAAAACCTTGGAATTCTTTCCCATTTTTTCAATATTTGAGATAAAACCTTGGAATTCTTTCCCATTTTTGTGATATTTTGGATAAAATCTTGGAATTCTTTCCCATCCCAGGCCCTGGACGGGTTCTTCTGCGTGGTGAACCGCGAGGGCCGCATCGTGTTCGTGTCGGAGAACGTGCCGCGATATTTACGATAAAGTTTTGGAATTCTTTCCTGGTTTCATGATATTTGAAATAAAATCCAGGAATTTTTCCCATTTTTGGGATATTTAGGGTAAAATCTCTGGAATATTTTTCCATTCCAGGTCCGGGATGGGTTTTTCTTCATGTTCAACCAGGATGGTTGGGTCGCGTTCGTGTCGGAGAACGTGACGGGCCAAAATCTTGAAATTTATTGGGGATTTATTTGGCATAAAACCTTGGAATTCTTTCCCTTTTCCCCCCATTTTCAAGATATTTTGGATAAAACTTTGGAATTTTTTCCCGTTTTTCCCGTTTCCAGGCTCTGGACGGGTTCTTCTTCGTGGTGAACCGCGAGGGCCGCATCGTGTTCGTGTCGGAGAACGTGATGCCATATTAGAGATAAAACCTTGAAACTCTTTCCCATTTTTGGGATATTTGAGATAGAATTTTGAATTTTTTTCCCATTTTTTCCCCATTTTCGGGATATTTTGGATAAAACCTTGGAATTTTTTCCCGTTCCCAGGCCCTGGACGGGTTCTTCTTCGTGGTGAACCGCGAGGGCCGCATCGTGTTCGTGTCGGAGAACGTGACGGGCTACCTGGGCTACGGGCAGGAGGAGCTGATGAACTCCAGCGTCTACAGCATCCTGCACGTGGGCGACCACGCCGAGTTCGTCAAGAACCTGCTCCCCAAGTCCCTGGGTACGGGGAATCCGGGGAAAATCCCGGACAAATCCCGGAAAGATCCGGGAAAAATACGGGGAAAATACGGGGAAAATACGGGGAAAATCCGGGGAAAATCCGGGAAAAATCCAAAAAAATCCAGGGAAAATTCAGGGAAAATCCGGGAAAAATAAAAAAAAATCTGGGGAAAATCCAGGGAAAATCCGGCAAAAATCCGGGGAAAATCCGGGAAAAATCCGGGGAAAATCCGGCAAAAATCCGGCAAAAATCTGGGGAAAATCCAGGGAAAATACGGGGAAAATCCAGGGAAAATCCAGGGAAAATAAAAAAAAATCTGAGGAAAATCCAGGAAAAATCCGGACAAAAATCCGGGGAAAATCCGGGAAAAATCCGGGGAAAATCCGGGAAAAATCCGGGGAAAATCCGGGGAAATCCGGGGAAAATCCGGGAAAAATCCGGGGAAAATCCGGGAAAAATCCGGGGAAAATCCGGGGAAAATCTGGAAAAATCCGGGGAAAATCCGGGGAAAATCTGGAAAAATCCGGGGAAAATCCGGGAAATTCTGGAAAATTCGGGAAAATTCAGGAATGGACGCAAGGATCAGGAGAAGGGTGGGGGGATGGGGATGGAGGGTTGTTCATTTTTAAATTTAAAGTTAAATTTTAATTTTAATTTCAATTTTAATTTTAATTTTAATTTCAATTTTAATTTTAATTTTAATTTCAATTTTAATTTTAATTTTAATTTCAATTTTAATTTTAATTTTAATTTCAATTTTAATTTTAATTTTAATTTCAATTTTAATTTTAATTTTAATTTCAATTTTAATTTTAATTTTAATTTCAATTTTAATTTTAATTTTAATTTCAATTTTAATTTTAATTTTAATTTCAATTTTAATTTTAATTTTAATTTCAATTTTAATTTTAATTTTAATTTCAATTTTAATTTTAATTTTAATTTCAATTTTAATTTTAATTTTAATTTCAATTTTAATTTTAATTTTAATTTCAATTTTATTTTAATTTTAATTCAAATTTTAATTTTAATTTTAATTCAAAATTTAATTTTGCTATATTTTATTTCTATTTTCATTTTTATTTTTATTTTAATATCTTTTTTGGTTTTGTTCCTTTGTATTTCTTGTAATTTTGTTTCTTGGTTTTTGTAGCTATTTAGATTTTTTGGTGTTTATTGATTTTTGTTTCCATATTATTTCCTTATTTTTATTTCTATTTATTTTTCATTTTTGTTTCTATATTACTTCCTTATTTGTTTTTATTTCTATTTATTTCGGCTTTATTTATTTTTAGGGTTTTTTTAGTATTCAAGTTTATTGATTTTTGTTTCCATATTATTTCCTTATTTTTATTTCTATTTATTTTTCATTTTTTTTTCTGTATTATCTTTTGGTTTTGTTCCTTTTTTGTATTTCTTGTTATTTTGTTCCTGGGTCTTTAGTTTTTATTTAGATTTTTTGGTGTTTATTGATTTTTGTTTCTATATTATTTCCTTATTACTTTTTATTTCCATTTATTTTGGTTTTATTTATTTTTTAGGGTTTTTTAGTATGCAAATTTTCTTTTAATTTCTTCTGCTTTTATTTATTTATTGTTTATTATCTTAAATTTTTATTTGTTTGTATTGTAATGATTTAGATTTAGTTTTAATTTTTTTAAAATTTGTATTTTATTTCTTTTGTTTTTAATTTTTTTATTTTTTAATTTTGATTTTATTTTTTATTTATTCCTTGGGGTTTTATTTTAATAATTAGAATATATTTTTATATCCTAATTTGGGATCTTTGGGAATTCTGGCTGGATTTGTGCTCCTCAAATCCCAGGGATCTTTGGGAATTCTGGCTCCTCAAATCCCAGGGATCTTTGGGAATTCTGGCTCCTCAAATCCCAGGGATCTTTGGGAATTCTGGCTCCTCAAATCCCAGGGATCTTTGGGAATTCTGGCTCCTGAAATCCCAGGGATCTTTGGGAATTGTGGCTCCTCAAATCCCAGGGATCTTTGGGAATTCTGGCTCCTCAAATCCCAGGGATCTTTGGGAATTCTGGCTGGATTGTGCTCCTCAAATCCCAGGGATCTTTGGGAATTCTGGCTCCTTAAATCCCGGGATTGGGATTTGGGATTGGGGTTGGAGTGAGGGACTACGAGGCCATGCAGTGCTTCACCGTCAGCCAGCCCCGCACCTTCCAGGAGGAGGGGGAAGGTGGGATTGGGATTGGGGTTGGGTTTGGGATTAGGGTTTGGTTTGGGGTTGGGTTTGGGGTGGGAATGGGGTGGGATTGTGGTTTGGTTTGGGGTCTCCGAGGCCATGCAGTGCTTCACCGTCAGCCAGCCCCGCGCCTTCCAGGAGGAGGGGGAAGGTGGGGCAGCATTCCCAGGGATTTGGGATCTGGGATTTGGGATTGGGATGGGAGGAGATATGGATTAGGATAGGAATGGGATTGGGGTTTGGATAGGAGATCAGAATTTGGATGAGGTTTAGGATTGGGGTTGCGATGGGATGGAGCAGAACTGGGATGGGATGGGATGGGATAAAGGGATGGGATGGAATGGGATGGGATGGGATGGGATGGAATGGGATGGGATGGGATGGGATGGGATAAAGGGATGGGATGGGTTGGGATGGGATGGGATGGGATGGAATGGGATGGGATGGGATGGGATGGGATAAAGGGATGGGATAAAGGGATGGGATGGGATGGGATAAAGGGATGGGATAAAGGGATGGGATAAAGGGATGGGATGGGATGGGATAAAGGGATGGGAGGGGATGGGACAGGCTTGGGGTTGGGATTGTGGTTAGGATTGGAATTGGAGCTGGAATTGGGATGACAGTGCAGGATTACAACAGGATGGGAATGCGGGATTGGGGTTGGGATTGGGATTAGAATTGGGGTTGGGATTGGTGTTGGAATTGGGATGTCCGTGCAGGACTGGGATGGGAATGCAGGATTGGGATGGGATTGAGATTGGAATGGGATGGGATTGGGATTGAGATTGGGATCAGGATGGAGCACAGTTGGGATGGGAATGCAGAATTGGGATTGGGGTTGGGATTGGGACTAGAATTGGGATGTCAGTGCAGGACTGGGATGGGATGGGAATGCCGGACTGGGATTGGGGTTGGGATTGGGACTGGAATTGGGATGTTAGTGCAGGACTGGGATGGGATGGGAATGCCGGACTGGGATTGGGGTTGGAATTCAGATTGGAATTGGAATTGGGATGTCAGTGCTGGATTGGGATGGGATAAAGTGAGAATGAGGGATTGGAATTGAGATTGGGTTGGGATTGGGATGGGATAGGAGTTGGGAGGCAATGCAGGATTAGGATTGGGATTGGGACTGGTATTTGGATTGGGATTAGGACTGGGATTAGGATTGGGATGGGAAGGGCTCAGGATTGGGACTGGGACTGGGACAGGGCCCGATCCTTCGCCGCTCTCCCTCTCCAGCTCCCTCTTCCCTGTCCCACCACATTCCTGGCATGAATCCCCCAATTCCCACAGGATTCCCCCCGGGAAGGGCCAAATCCCGCTGTTCGAGCACCAAATCCCACCAATCCCTGGAATCCCATTATCCCAACTCCGCCACACCCCAGAACCCTCCCCACTCAACCCCCCAAAGCTTCTCCCAGGGAATTCCAGGGAATTCCAGCCCAGTTCCTCAGCTGGGATAGGGAATCCCTCCAGGAAAACACTTCCCAATCTCCGGGAGGGAGACCTGAGCTGCGGCCCGGGATGGCGGCGGCATTCCCGGCGTTTTTCCCGGTGTTTTTCCCAGATTTCCAGTCGTGTCTGATCTGCATCGCGCGGAGGCTGCCGCGCCCGGCGGCGCCGGCCCCCACCGAGTCCTTCGTCACCAAGCAGGACACCACAGGTACACCCCGCGCGGAATTCCCGGGAATTCCGCCCCAAATCCCGCCATTCTGGGGCTCTGGAATGGTTTGGGTGGGATTTGTGGAGCTTCAATCCCATTCCAATCCCAATCTCAGGGTGCTTGGACGCTCCCAGGGAATTCCTTCCCAAATTCCTCCCCTTTTCCCAAGGAATTCCCTCCAATCCCAGCTCTCCCAGCCTGGGACTGGATCCATCCCCATCCTGAATCCTCTTTGGAAGGAATTTTGGGAATTCCCTTGGAATCTCGGGTGTCCCCCTTCCTTTTTCCACCCCCAAATCCCATAAAAATCCCTGGGGATGGATCCTGAGTGTCCTGGATCCCAGAATCCCGAAATGGTTTGGGATGGGATCCATGGAGCTTCAATCCCATCCCGTTCCCACCCCACAATTCTGGGATTTTCCAGCCTTTCCTTGGGCAGTCCCAGGGATTCTCTGGGAATTCCTTCCCAAATACCTCCCCTTTTCCCAGGGATTTGTGGAGCTTCAATCCCATTCCAATCCCAATCTCAGGGTGCTTGGACGCTCCCAGGGAATTCCTTCCCAAATTCCTCCCCTTTTCCCAGGGAATTCCCTCCATTCCCAGCTCTCCCAGCCTGGGACTGGATCCATCTCCATCCTGAATCCTCTCTGGGAAGGAGTTTTGGGAATTCCCTTGGAATCTTGGGGATCTCCCTTCCCTTTTCCATCCCTGAATTCCATAAAAATCCCTGGGGATGGATCCTGAGCGTCCTGGATCCCAGAATCCCAGAATGGTTTGGGATGGGATCCATGGAGCTTCAATCCCATCCCATTCCCACCCCACAATTCCGGGATTTTCCAGCCTTTCCTTGGGCACTGCCAGGGATTCTCTGGGAATTCCTTCCCAAATTCCTCCCCTTTTCCCAGGGAATTCCGTCCATTCCCAGCTCTCCCAGCCTGGCATTGGATCCATCCCCATCCCGAATCCTCTCCGGGAGGGAATTTCGGGAATTCCCTTGGAATCTGGGGGGGTCTCCCTTCCGTTTTCCACCCCCAAATTCCATAAAAATCCCTCGTGATGCATTTTGATCCATCCTGGATCCCAGAATCCCGGAATGGTTTGGGACGGAATCCACAAAATTCCCTCAACCCCACCCTTTCCTTGGGCAGTCCCAGGGATTCTCTGGGAATTCCTTCCCAAATTCCTCCCCTTTTCCCAGGGAATTCCCTCCATTCCCAGCTCTCCCAGCCTGGCACTGGATCCATCCCCATCCCGAATCCTCTCCGGGAGGGAATTTCGGGAATTCCCTTGGAATCTGGGGGGTCTCCCTTTCGTTTTCCATCCCCAAATTCCATAAAAATCCCTCGTGATGCATTTTGATCCATCCTGGATCCCAGAATCCCGGAATGGTTTGGGACGGAATCCACAAAATTCCCTCAACCCCACCCCACCAACCCAACCTCCTCCACCCCATTCCAACTCCCCAAATCCCCCCAAATTCCCCTTCCTCCCTCTCCTTTTCCCAGGAAAAATCATCTCCATCGACACCAGCTCGCTGCGCGCCGCCGGCCGGACGGGCTGGGAGGATCTGGTCAGGAAATGCATCTACGCCTTCTTCCAGCCCCAGGGCCGCGAGCCCTCCTACGCCAAGCAGCTCTTTCAGGAAGGTACCGCTGCCTTTTCCCCCCGGAAAGAATCTTCTCCTTGGGAAAAACCCCAAAAAAATCCCCGGATTCGGGGCGGTTTGGTTCCCGCCGCGGGTTGGGAAGAGGAGGAGAAAATGGCGGCGGTGTTTTGGCGGGGTCGGTGTGTGGTTTGGGGTTTTGTTTTTTTGGGAGGTGGTGATGGCAAGATGTGTTTTTGTGGTGTTGTGGTGGGGTTTTGGGGTTGTTGAGGGATTTTGGCGGGGTTTTTCCATGTTTTTCCTTGGAATTCTGTGTGTTTCCCCTCAGTGATGACCACCCTCAGCTCCTCGTCCCTTTCACGCTGAGCGATGGCTCCGTGCTGATCTTCCCTGGGCCCTATTGGGGTTTTTGGGATCAGATTTCCATTGGATTGGGGGTTTTGGGACTAGATCTGGATTTTTTTCAGGATTTTCTCGGGATTTTTCCATATTTTCTCCTGGAATTCTGTCTGTTTCCCCTCAGTGATGACCCTCCCTTTCACGCTGAGCGATGGCTCCATGCTGATCCTCCCTGGGCCCTATTGGGGTTATTGGGATCAGATTTCCATTGGATTGGGGGTTTTGGGACTAGATCTGGATTTTTTTCAGGATTTTCTTGGGATTTTTCCATATTTTCCCCTGGAATTCTGTGTGTTTCCCCTCAGTGATGACCTTGGCAGGGCCCTCAGCCCCTCGACACCTTCACGCTGAGGGACAGCTCTGTGCGGATCCTCCCTGTGCCCTATTGGGGTTTTTGGGATCAGATTTCCATTGAAATGGGTATTGTTTGACTGAATTGGGATTTTTTAAGGATTTTATCAGGATTTTCCTGGAATTCTGTGCTTTTCCCCTCAGGGCAAGGCCTTCAGCCCCTTGTACCCTTCACAGTGAGCGATGGCTCGGTGCTGATACTCCCTGGGTCCTTTTGGGGTTTTTGGGATCAGATTTCCATTGAATTGGGTGTTGTTCGATGGGATTGGGATTTTTGCAGGATTATCTTGGGATTTTTCCAGGATTTTCCTGGATTTCTGTGCTTTTCCCCTCAGTGCAAGGCCTTCAGCCCCTTGTACCCTTCACGCTGAGCGATGGCTCTGTGCTGATCCCCTCTGTGCCCTTTTGGGGTTTTTGGGATCAGATTTCCATTGAAATGGGTATTGTTTGACTGAATTGGGATTTTTTAAGGATTTTATCAGGATTTTCCTGGAATTCTGTGCTTTTCCCCTCAGGGCAAGGCCTTCAGCCCCTTGTACCTTTCACGCTGAGCAATGGCTCCGTGCTGATACTCCCTGGGTCCTTTTGGGGTTTTTGGGATCAGATTTCCATTGACTTGGGTGTTATTTGATGGGATTGGGATTTTTGCAGGATTATTTTAAGATTTTTCCAGGATTTTCCTGGAATTCTGTGCTTTTCCCCTCAGGGCAAGGCCTTCAGCCCCTTGTACCCTTCACGCTGAGCGATGGCTCTGTGCTGATCCCCTCTGTGCCCTATTGGGGTTTTTGGGATCGGATTTGCATTGGATTGGGGTTTTTGGGATTGGATTGGGATTTTGTCAGGATTTTATCAGGATTTTCCCAGGATTTTCCTGGAATTCTGTGTTTTTCCCCTCAGTGATGACCCCAGCATGGCCCTCAGCCTCTCATGCCCCTCACGCTGAGCAGCGGCTCCGTGCTGATCCTCCCTGGGCCCTGTTGGGATTTTTGGGCTTAGATTTCCATTGAATTGCGGGTTTTTGGACTAGATATGGATTTTATCCAGATTTTCTTGGGATTTTCCCATGTTTTTCCCTGAAATTCTGCGTTTCTTTCCTCAGTGATGATCCCAGCTCTACCCTCAGCCCCTCATCCCCTTCACGCTGAGCGATGGCTCCATGCTGTCTCTCGCTTTACCCTCTCATGATTTTCAGGAATTTACTGCCATTTTCTCGGGGTTTTCCATGATTTTTCCCTATTTTCCCCTGGAATTCTGTCTGTTTCCCCTCAGTGATGACCCCAGCTCTACCCTCAGCCCCTCATCCCCTTCACGCTGAGCGATGGCTCCGTGCTGATCCTCCCTGTGCCCTGTTGGGGTTTTTGGGATCAGATTTCCATTGGATTGGGGTTTTTGGGGTTGGGTTGGGATTTTGTCAGGATTTTTTCAAGATTTTTCTACAATTTTGCTGGAATTTAGGTGATTTTCCCCTCAGTGATGATCCCAGCTCTACCCTCAGCCCCTCATCCCCTTCACGCTGAGTGATGGCTCCGTGCTGATCCCCCCTGGGTCCTATTGGGGTTTTTGGGCTCAGATTTTCATTGGATTGGGTTTTTTGGGGTTAGATTGGGATTTTGTCAGGATTTTCTTGGGATTTTTCCAGGATTTCCCTGGAATTTAGGTGATTTTCCCCTCAGTGATGATCCCAGCTCTACCCTCAGCCCCTCGTCCCCTTCACGCTGAGCGACGGCTCCGTGCTGTCTCTCGCTTTTCCCTCTCATGATTTTTAGGATTTTTTCGGGATTTTCTCGGGGTTTTCCGTGATTTTTCCCAATTTTCCCCTGTGAGTGACGGCTCCGTGCTGATCCTCCCTGGGTCCTATTGGGGTTTTTGGGATCAGATTTCCATTGAATTTGTGTTTTTGGGGTTGGATTGGGATTTTGTCAGGATTTTCTTAAGATTTTTCCAGGATTTCCCTGGAATTTACGTGGTTTTCCCCTCAGTGATGATCCCAGGTCCACCCTCAACCCCCTCGTCCCCTTCACACTGAGCGACGGCTCCGTGCTGTCTCTCGCTTTTCCCTCTCATGATTTTTAGGATTTTTTCGGGATTTTCTCGGGGTTTTCCGTGATTTTTCCCAATTTTCCCCTGGAATTCTGTGTGTTTCCCCCCAGTGATGACGCGGGGCACGGCCTTCAGCCCCTCGTACCGCTTCACGCTGAGCGACGGCTCCGTGCTGATCCTCCCTGTGCCCTGTTGGGGTTTTTGGGATCAGATTTCCATTGGATTGGGGTTTTTGGGGTTGGGTTGGGATTTTGTCAGGATTTTTTCAAGATTTTTCTACAATTTTGCTGGAATTTAGGTGATTTTTCCCTCAGTGATGACCCCAGCTCTACCCTCAGCCCCTCATCCCCTTCACGCTGAGTGACGGCTCCGTGCTGATCCTCCCTGGGTCCTATTGGGGTTTTTGGGCTCAAATTTTCATTGGATTGGGTTTTTTGGGGTTGGATTGGGATTTTGTCAGGATTTTCTTGAGATTTTGCCAGAATTTCTTGGGATTTTCCTGGAATTCTGTGCTTTTCTCCTCAGTGATGACGCGGGGCACGGCCTTCAACCCCTTGTCCCCTTCACACTGAGCGACAGCTCCGTGCTGGATGTCCCTTTATCCTATCAAGATTTTTAGTATTTTCTCGGGATTTTCTCGGGGTTTTCCGTGATTTTTCCCAATTTTCCCCTGGAATTCTGTGTGTTTCTCCCCAGTGATGACGCGGGGCACGGCCTTCAGCCCCTCGTACCCTTCACGCTGAGTGACGGCTCCGTGCTGATCCTCCCTGTGCCCTGTTGGGGTTTTTGTGCTCAGATTTCCATTGAATTTGGTTTTTTGGGGTTGGATTGGGATTTTGTCAGGATTTTCTTGAGATTTTGCCAGAATTTCTTGGGATTTTCCTGGAATTCTGTGCTTTTCTCCTCAGTGATGACTCAGGGCACGGCCTTCAGCCCCTCGTCCGCTTCACGCTGAGCGACGGCTCCGTGCTGAGCGCGCACACCAAGTGCAAGCTGTGCTACCCCTCGAGCCCGGAGCTGCAGCCCTTCATCATGGGCATCCACGTCATCGACAGGTACGGCATTCCCGGGAATCCCTCGGAATTCCGAAAAATCCCTCAGAATCCCACGGAATCCCTACCGCTTCACGCTGAGCGACGGCTCCGTGCTGAGCGCGCACACCAAGTGCAAGCTGTGCTACCCCTCGAGCCCGGAGCTGCAGCCCTTCATCATGGGCATCCACGTCATCGACAGGTACGGAATTCCCGGGAATCCCTCGGAATTCCGTGGAATTCCGAAAAATCCCTCAGAATCCCACGGAATTCCGGCACCGGGAATCACCCGGAGGGGGCAGGGATGAAGCTCCAGGCGCTGATCCCGCCCTGGGTTTTTCCAGCTTTTTGGGTTTTTTTCTTTCTTTTTTTCCCCTCTTTTGGGTTTTTCCTGGAATTCTGGCGGTTTTGGGAATTTTGGTGTTTCCTAAGGAAAATTTTCTGGAGGTTTTCATGCTCTGGGGGAGGAATTTTTCCCAAAAATCTGGCCTTGACCTCATCCAGGCATTCCCTGGGTCCTCAGTGCTCATTGGGATTGGAACTGGGATAGGAATTAGGATTTGTTTTAGGATTAGGACTGGAATTGGGATTTAGACTGGGATCAGGATTAGAATTGGGATCAGGATTGGAATTAGAATAGGGTTTGGGATCAGGATTGGAATTGGAATTGGGATTAGGATTGGTTTGGGGATCGGGATGGGAATTGGGATTAGGATTGGTTTTGGAAGTGGGATTGGGTCTGGAATTGGCATAGGGATTGACATTTGGATTAGGATTAGGATTAGATTTAGGATTGGGATGAGGATTTGGATCGTGATTGGAATTAGAATTGGGATTGGGATTGGAATTAGGATTGGGATCTGAACTGGAATTGGGATCAGAATTAGGATTGTAATCGGGATTAGGATTGGGATTGGGATTAGGATTGGGATCAGGATCAGAATCAGAATTGGGATTGGGATTGAGATTTGGATTGGGATTAGGATTAGATTAAGGATTGCCCAAAAATCTGGCCTTGACCTCATCCAGGCATTCCCTGGGTCCTCAGTGCTCATTGGGATTGGAACTGGGATAGGAATTAGGATTTGTTTTAGGATTAGGACTGGAATTGGGATTTAGACTGGGATCAGGATTAGAATTGGGATCAGGATTGGAATTAGAATAGGGTTTGGGATCAGGATTGGAATTGGAATTGGGATTAGGATTGGTTTGGGGATCGGGATGGGAATTGGGATTAGGATTGGTTTTGGAAGTGGGATTGGGTCTGGAATTGGCATAGGGATTGACATTTGGATTAGGATTAGGATTAGATTTAGGATTGGGACGAGGATTTGGATCGTGATTGGAATTAGAATTGGGATTAGGATTGGAATTAGGATTGGGATCTGAACTGGAATTGGGATCAGAATTAGGATTGTAATCGGGATTAGGATTGGGATTGGGATTAGGATCGGGATCAGGATCAGAATTGGGATTGGGATTGAGATTTGGATTGGGATTAGGATTAGATTTAGGATTGCGACTGGGATTTGTATCGTGGTTGGAATTGGAATTGGGATTGGTACTGGGATTGGAATTAGGATTGGGATTAGAATTAGGATTGGGATTGGAATTAGGATTGGGATCTGGACTGGAATTGGGATCAGAATTAGGATTGTAATCGGGATTAGGATTAGATTTAGGATTGCGACTGGGATTTGGATCGTGATTGGAATTAGGATTGGGATCTGAACTGGAATTGGGATCAGAATTAGGATTGTATTCAGGACTAGGATTGGGATTGGGATTAGGATGGAATCTGGAATTGGCATTGGCATTGGGATTAGGATTAGATTTAGGATTGCGACTGGGATTTGGATTGTGATTGGAATTAGGATTGGGATTAGGATTAGATTTAGGATTGCGACTGGGATTTGGATTGTGATTGGAATTAGGATTGGGATTTGGATTAGGATTGGAATTAGGATGGGGATCTGAACTGGAATTGGGATCAGAATTAGGATTGCATTCAGGACTAGGATTGGGATTGGGATTGGGATTAGGATGGGGATCAGGATCAGAACTGGGATTGGGATCAGGATCAGGATTAGCACTGGAATTGGGATCTTCCCCTCCCAAGGATTTCTGTCAGAATTCCTGGAAAAAAATGATCTTCTGGAGCTGCTGGAATGAGTCCAGGGAATCCTGGAACAACCCAAAAATTTGGGAAAACCAACTTTTCCCAGCGTGAGGGGGCTGGGATGGCAGGAATGCTGATCTGGGAATTCCAGACCCTGAGAAAGCCTTGGAGCAACCGGAATTCCGAGCAGGGAATTTTTGGGATTCCCGCTGCTGGTGGAGCAGAATTTGGGAATTCCAGACCTGGAGAAAGGGTCAGAGTAACCGGAATTCCAAGCAGGGAATTTTTGGCATCCTTTGTGCCATTGGAGCAAGATTTGGGAATTCAAAGCCTGAGAAAGGGTCAGAGTAACCGGAATTCCAAGCAGGGAATTTTTGGGATTCCCGCTGCTGGTGGAGCAGAATTTGGGAATTCCAGACCAGGAGAAGGGGTCAGAGCAGCGTTCCCCTCCCAAGGATTTCTGTCAGAATTCCCGGAAAAAAATGATCTTCTGGAGCTGCTGGAATGAGTCCAGGGAATCCTGGAACAACCCAAAAATTTGGGAAAACCAACTTTTCCCAGCATGAGTGGGCTGGGATGGTGGGAATGCTGATCTGGGAATTCCAGACCCTGAAAAAACCTTGGAGCAGCCGGAATTCCGAGCAGGGAATTTTTGGGATCCTTTTTGCCATGGGAGCAGGATCTGGGAATTCCCAACCCTGAGAAAGCCTTGGAATTCCGAGCAGGGAAATTTTGGGATTCCTGCTGCTGGTGGAATGAAGCTCCAGGCGCTGATCCCGCCCTGGGTTTTTCCAGCTTTTTGGGTTTTTTTCTTTCTTTTTTTCCCCTCTTTTGGGTTTTTCCTGGAATTCTGGCGGTTTTGGGAATTTTGGTGTTTCCTAAGGAAAATTTTCTGGAGGTTTTCATGCTCTGGGGGAGGAATTTTTCCCAAAAATCTGGCCTTGACCTCATCCAGGCATTCCCTGGGTCCTCAGTGCTCATTGGGATTGGAACTGGGATAGGAATTAGGATTTGTTTTAGGATTAGGACTGGAATTGGGATTTAGACTGGGATCAGGATTAGAATTGGGATCAGGATTGGAATTAGAATAGGGTTTGGGATCAGGATTGGAATTGGAATTGGGATTAGGATTGGTTTGGGGATCGGGATGGGAATTGGGATTAGGATTGGTTTTGGAAGTGGGATTGGGTCTGGAATTGGCATAGGGATTGACATTTGGATTAGGATTAGGATTAGGTTTAGGATTGGGACGAGGATTTGGATCGTGATTGGAATCAGAATTGGGATTAGGATTGGAATTAGGATTGGGATCTGAACTGGAATTGGGATCAGAATTAGGATTGTAATCGGGATTAGGATTGGGATTGGGATTAGGATTGGGATCAGGATCAGAATCAGAATTGGGATTGGGATTGAGATTTGGATTGGGATTAGGATTAGATTTAGGATTGCGACTGGGATTTGTATCGTGGTTGGAATTGGAATTGGGATTGGTACTGGGATTGGAATTAGGATTGGGATTAGAATTAGGATTGGGATTGGAATTAGGATTGGGATCTGGACTGGAATTGGGATCAGAATTAGGATTGTAATCGGGATTAGGATTGGGATTGGGATCAGGATTGGAATTTGGATTGGATCTGGAATTGGCATTGGGATTGGGATTAGGATTAGATTTAGGATTGCGACTGGGATTTGTATCGTGGTTGGAATTGGAATTGGGATTGGTACTGGGATTGGAATTGGGATTGGAATTGGAATTAGGATTGGGATCTGGACTGGAATTGGGATCAGAATTAGGATTGCATTCAGGACTAGGATTGGGATTGGGATTGGGATTAGGATGGGGATCAGGATCAGAACTGGGATTGGGATCAGGATCAGGATTAGCACTGGAATTGGGATCTTCCCCTCCCAAGGATTTCTGTCAGAATTCCTGGAAAAAAATGATCTTCTGGAGCTGCTGGAACGGGTCCAGGGAATCCTGGAACAACCCAAAAATTTGGGAAAACCAACTTTTCCCAGCGTGAGGGGGCTGGGATGGCAGGAATGCTGATCTGGGAATTCCAGACCCTGAGAAAGCCTTGGAGCAACCGGAATTCCGAGCAGGGAATTTTTGGGATTCCCGCTGCTGGTGGAGCAGAATTTGGGAATTCCAGACCTGGAGAAAGGGTCAGAGTAACCGGAATTCCAAGCAGGGAATTTTTGGCATCCTTTGTGCCATTGGAGCAAGATTTGGGAATTCAAAGCCTGAGAAAGGGTCAGAGCAGCCGGAATTCCGAGCAGGGAATTTTTGGGATTCCCGCTGCTGGTGGAGCAGAATTTGGGAATTCCAGGCCAGGAGAAGGGGTCATAGCACCTGGAGAAAGGGTTGGAGCAGCCGGAATTCCGAGCAGGGAATTTTTGGGATCCTTTTTGCCATGGGAGCAGGATCTGGGAATTCCCAACCCTGAGAAAGCCTTGGAATTCCGAGCAGGGAAATTTTGGGATTCCTGCTGCTGGTGGAGCAGAATTTGGGAATTCCAGGCCCCAAAATTTGAAGTCTTGGACCAGCCACAATTCTGAGCTGGGAATTTTTGGGATTCCTGCTGCTGGTGGAGCAGAATTTGGGAATTCCAGGCCAAAAAAATGTCTTGGACCAGGAATTTTTGGGATCCTTTTTGCCATTGGAGCAAGATTTGGGAATTCAAAGCCTGAGAAAGGGTCAGAGCAGCCGGAATTCCGAGCAGGGAATTTTTGGGATCCTTTTTGCCATGGGAGCAGGATCTGGGAATTCAAAGCCTGAAAAATGGTCGGAGCAGCCGGAATTCCGAGCAGGGAATTTTTGGGATCCTTTTTGCCATTGGAGCAAGATTTGGGAATTCAAAGCCTGAGAAAGGGTCAGAGCAGCCGGAATTCCGAGCTTGGAATTTTTGAGATTTGTGCTGTTCTCAGAGCAGGATCTGGGAATTCTCAACCCTAAGAAAACCTTGGAGCAGCCGGAATTTTGAGCAGGGAAATTTTGGGATCCTTTCTGCCATTTGAGCAGGATCTGGGAATTCCCAACCCCGAGAAAACTTTGGAGCAGCCGGAATTCCGAGCTTGGAATTTTTGAGATTTGTGCTGTTCTCAGAGCAGGATCTGGGAATTCAAAGCCTGAAAAATGGTCGGAGTAGCCGGAATTCCAAGCTGGGAATTTTTGGGATTCCCGCTGTTCTCAGAGCAGGATCTGGGAATTCCCAACCCCGAGAAAACCTTGGAAAATTCCGAGCTGGGAATTTTCGGGATTCCCGCTGCTTCGAGGACCGCCGAACCCCGCGCTAACCAGATTTTCCCATGTTTTCCCCCCAGGGATCACGGGATCCTGTCCCCCCAGGACGCCCCCGCGCCGGGCATGGCCCTGCCCCGGGCGAATCCCGGCGTTCCGCCGGCGCCGGGAATGGCGCTGCTGCCGCCCCTCCCTCCCTCCAACGGCTCCGCCATGGCCGGGACGCCCCCCTCGGGCCAGGGGAATTTCGGGAATCCTCTGGGATCCAGCGTTGCCTTAAGCCAGACTCCCGGCAGTTCCCACCCGCTGGCGCACGGCGGCTCCCCCATGCACAGCCCCGGCGTCGCGGCGCCGCCGTTCCTGTCGCCGCGGCACCGCGGCAGCCCGGGCTCCGTTCCGCGATCCCGGGCTGCTCCCGGCAATCCCTTCTCGCCATCCGTGCACTCCCCGGCTTCATCATCCTCCTCATCCTCCTCCTCCTCCTCGGGGAATTCCCGGCCTTTCCCCAGCGCTCCCCTCACCGCGGCGCTGCCGGAGCCGCCGGCAAACGCGGCGTTTTTGAGGCAGCCGAGCTCCCAGGGCTCGCCCGGCCGCAAAGCCGACGCCAAGGACTCCAAGGAAATCTCCTCCATCCTCGGCGACATCATCCAGGGGGACGAGAAGCCCCCGGAGCCGGGAACGCCGCACGGACCCGAGGCGGGCGACGCCGGGAAGTGTCCCCAAGGCACGAGCCACCGGCTGGTGCAGCTGCTGGCCAGCACGGCCGAGCAGCAGCTGCGGCACCACGCCGAGGCCGCCGACGCCAAGGAGGCCGCGCTGGCGTGCGCCGGCGTGGCCGGGATGGGCATTCCCAAAGATTTTCTGGATTTGGCTTCCCATTCCCATGGAATCCTGGAGATCTGGAATGGTTCGGGGTGGAATTTGTGGAGATTTGATCCCATCCCACTCCAATCTCAACACCTTGAGGTTCTCCAAGATTTCCTTGGGCATTCCCAAAGACTTCCTGGGAATTTTGCTTCTTCCTGGATTTTGCTTCCCATTCCCATGGAATCCCAAAGTTCTGGAATGGTTTTGGGTGGGATTTGAGGAGATTCGATCCCATCCTGCTCCAATCCCAACATCTTGAGGTTCTCCAAGATTTCCTTGGGCATTCCCAACAATTTTCTGGCAATTCTCTTGGATTTCTCTTCCCATTCCCATGGAATCCCAACATTCTGGAATGGTTTGGGTGGGGTTTATGGAGATTTGATCCCATCCCATTCCAATCCCAAGATCCTGAGGTTCTCCAAGATTTCCTTGGATGCTCTCAGGGATTTTCTGGGAATTCTTATGGATTTCGCTTCCAATTCCTATTGAATCCCAAAGTTCCGGAATGGTTTGGGTGGGATTTGAGGAGATTCGATCCCGTCCCACTCCAATCCCAAGATTCCAAGATCTCCTTGGGCATTCCAAAAGATTCTCAGGAAATTCTCTTGGATTTGGCTTCACATGGAATTCTGGAGATCTGGAATGGTTTTGGGTGGGGTTTGACAAGATTCGATCCCATTCCGTTCCAATCCCAACATCTTGACGTGCTCCAAGATTTCCTTGGATGCTCCCAAGGATTTTCTGGATTTTGTTTCCTATTCCCATGGAATCCTGGAGATCCAGAGTGGTTTTGGGTGGGATTTGAGGAGATTTGATCCCATCCTGCTCAATCCCAAGACCTTGAGGTTCTCCAAGATTTCCTTGGGCATTCCCAAAGACTTCCTGGGAATTTTGCTTCTTCCTGGATTTTGCTTCCCATTCCCATGGAATCCCAAAGTTCCGGAACGGTTTGGGTGGGATTTGTGGAGATTCGGTCCCATCCCACTCCAATCCCAAGACCTTGGGGTGCTCCAAGATTTCCTTGGGCATTCCCAACGATTTTCTGGGAATTCCATCCCAGTTGGGATTTCCTTCCCAAATTTGACAAGTTTTGGGAAATTTTTTGGGATTGGGGGATTTTTGGGTGGGGATTTGGAGTTCGGAGCCCTTGGAATTTTGGGAATTCCAGGATTTCTCTTTCTTTTCCTTGGGAATTTCCTTGGGAATTCCAGGAATTCTGGGAATTTGGGAGCTGGCCAATCCCAGAATTTTTCCTGGTTGATCCTGGAATTTTTCCCAGCTGATCCCAGAATTTTTTCCTTCTTGATCCCAAGATTTTCCTTCTTTTCCCTGGGAATTTCAGAAATCCCAGGAATTTGGGATCTGGCTGATTCCAGATTTTTTCCTCGCTGATTCCAGGATTTTTCCTTTTTTTCCCTGAGTATTTTAGGAGTTTGGGCTCTCCCGGATCCCAGAATTTTTTCTGTTTGATCCCAGAATTTCTCCTTCCTTATCCCAGGATTCTTCCCACCTGATCCCAAGATTTTTCCCACTTAATCCCAGAATTTCTCCTGGTTGATCCCAGATTTTTTCCCACTTAATCCCAGAGTTTTTTCTGGGATTAAGTTTTTCTTAAAGAATTTCCCAGAATTTTTTCTGTGAAATTCCCAGAATTTTTTCTGGGATTAAGCTGATCCCAAGATTTTTCCCAGCTAATCCTAGAATTTTTCCCACCTGATCCCAGATTTTTCCTGCCTGATCCCAAGATTTTTGCCACTTACTCCCAGAATTTTTCTGAGCTCATCCCAGAATTTTTTCCCGTTTGATCCCAGATTTTTTCTCACTTAATCCCAGAATTTTTTCCAGTTGATCCCAAGATTTTTCCCAGCTAATCCCACAATTTCTCCTGGTTGATCCCAGAATTTTTCCTGTTTGATCCCCGAATTTTCCTCACCAGATCCCAGATTTTTTCCTGTCTTTTCCCAATTTTTTCCCACCTAATCCCAGAATTTTTCCTAGCTCATCCCAGGATTTTTCCTGTTTGATCCCAGAATTTTTCCCCTTGTGATCCCATATTTTCCCCACCTTTTCCCAGAATTTTTCCCCCTCCCTAACCCCACCTTTTCCCAATTTTTCCCCACCTTTTCCCAGAATTTTTCCCCTCCTTTTCCCAGAATTTTTCCCCCTCCCTAACCCCACCTTTTCCCAGAATTTTTCCCCCTCCCTAACCCCACCTTTTCCCAGAATTTTTCCCCCTCTCTAACCCCCCCTTTCCCCAATTTTTCCCCCCTTTTCCCAGAATTTTTCCCCTCCTTTCCCCAATTTTCCCCCCTCTCTAATCCCCCCTTTTCCCAGAATTTTTCCCCTCCTTTTCCCAGAGTTTCCCCCCCTCTAACCCCACCTTTTCCCAATTTTTTCCCCTCTCTAACCCCACCTTTTCCCAGAATTTCCCCTCCTTTTCCCAATTTTTCCCCCTCTCTAACCCCACCTTTCCC